GTTTTAAAAGCGAAGCTCATCCTGAGTACGTGTGCAAGTTAAGGAAAGCACTCTACGGTTTGAAACAAGCACCAAGAGCGTGGTACGGTAAGATTGCAGAGTTTCTCACACAAAGTGGTTATTCAGTAACACCTACAGATTCCAGTCTATTTGTCAAAGACAATGAAGGAAAGCTAGCTATTGTGCTAGTGTATATGGATGACTTAATCATAACCGGTGATGATAAGGCAGAAATTCTTCGGACAAAGGAGAATTTATCAGTCCGTTTCCAAATGAAGGAACTTGGTCAACTCAAGCACTTCCTTAGTCTAGAGGTTGATTGCACACAAGAAGGAATATTTCTCTATCAACAGAAGTATGCCAAAGATTTGTTGAAGAAGTTCGGAATGCTCGAATGCAAGCTGATTTCGACGCCGATGGAACCAAATGCCAAAATGTGTGCACATGAAGGAAAAGATTTGGAAGATGGGACGATGTATCGACAATTGGTAGGTAGTCTAATCTACTTAACCTTGACTCCTCCTGACATTTCTTATGCAGTTGGTGTGATGAGTCGGTACATGCAAAATCCAAAGAAGCCTCACTTGGAAGCAGTTCGACGAATACTGAGATATGTGAAGAGTACAATTGAATATGGTATTTTGTACAAGAAAGGTGAAGACTGCAAGTTAGTTGGCTATTGTGACGCAGACTTTGCAGGAGATCATGACACCAGGAGATCGACCACTGGGTATGTCTTCAGAATCGGTTCTGGAGTAGTTTCGTGGTGCAGCAAGAGACAACCAACGGTGTCTTTGTCAACCACAGAAGCAGAGTATAGAGCAGCAGCAATGGAAGCTCAAGAGAATGCATGGCTGGTACAGTTGATGAGTGATCTACATCAACTAGTAGACTATCCAGTACCATTGTACTATGATAACCAATCGGCAATTCGCTTGGCGGAAAATCCAGTCTTTCATGCGAGAACTAAGCATGTGGAGGTACACTACCATTTCATTAGAGAGAAGGTCTTGCAAGAAGAGATTAAGATGAGACAAATCAATACAGATGAACAAGTTGCGGACTTGTTCACTAAAGGTTTGAGTACCGGCAAGTTTGAAAAGTTTCGTCGTCAACTTAGCATGGAGAAAAGAATGAGCTGGTGTTGAGGGGGAGTGTTAAAAGAGTCCAACCCCAGCCCATTCTACACAAATCCAGAAAAGTCAAGCACCAAAGTCGGTGCATCATGCAAGCATAACAATATGCTAGATAATTCTAGCATTATCAAGTTTGTGGGTGTGTGTATTATCAATATGTGGCTATGTTGACCCTAAAACTACAACGCCTACGTGGCGCGCAGGCTGAGTAATTAATGAGCTAACTACGTCCTTCGGTGAATGCGGGGCGTGCCAACTCGTCGGCCGAGCTCGACCGAGGAGTAAATTTGTTGATGTTGCGTTGGGTGCGCGGCTGACTTCTGCGTCTTGCGATTGCGGCCGAGAAAGGAACACGTTTCGGCCTCTTGGGCTCTCGAACCTGAAGACAAGGTTACTATTCTTACGAAGTTCAATATCAAATTCGGCTTTCAATATGCCGAACGTAATAACGTGTAACACCTCACTTCGCCGAGAAGGCTGATGAGATGACCTCGACCAATAAGGGTTCAGAAACCCTTCTCGACCGAGACTTGGATAGGTAATCAACCGTTCTCGCCGCAGTGCTGTTGATGCCAACGGAAGATACTGCGAGACCGATTGATTCTACGGTGACAGAGCTATCTATGCCGACTTAAGATATCACCGGTTGCTTCCACAGTGCTGTTGATGCCAACGGAAGATGTGTCAGCGAAAAAGGAAAAAGAAAAATCACAAGTTGTGAGAATTTGCGCAGGGCAATTTTGTATTGATTTGCAGAGGTCCTTCTGTTTTCTACGCGTCTCGTATTTATAGAACTATCATCTCGATGGTCGTCGTGTTGTAAAACTGCTGTCAATACCAATGTTTCCTCCTGCATAACAATTTCATGCAAAACAAAAGATTGCTATGCCTTATCACTTACTAGCACGACACCACCACGTGCTAATTAATAGCATGTACCAATTATTAGCATATATCTTTATGCTGATAAGCATCTTTAATTTGAAATATGCCACATCCTGCATGCATGGCTAACCAACTCCAAGCACACATGGAGTTGACTCTGTTGATTACGCATCTTGGCATCCTATTTAAATGCATGTGTTAATCTTTTCTGCCAATCAATATCCGTTTGCCAACCAATGCCACAATATATTAAGACTCTTGATAAAATGCTTTGATGCTCCAATCCACCACGCGTCCAAACTTTCAGAGTCCCAAATCAAATTGAACTGCATTACTTGCTTTAGAAATATAATTTGCATCTTCTTATCCCGTATAAGAAACTATCAAGGCATTTTTTTTTAAACGATAAATATTATGATAAAAACCATAATATTATCCTTTAACAATAAAAATTACCTCCACTTTTCCATCCGACGGTTGAGAACTACGCTTACTCAACGGCCTTGATTACATGGGCCGATGGTGTAAATTTGGGTCCAAACATTGCCCCCCAATTTCCTTGAGCTTCGGCTCTTGAGCCGAATGGTTAAGGAAATTAACCGTCTGTGCCTACCTCGGCAATGATCAAATCATAATCAAATAACCTTATGGTTCCCTCGGTCAACACAATGCCAAATGAACTACCATCCCCATTTGTTTTCAGCCACCATTTGTGAGATAGCAACCAAAAACTGGGGTCGAAGGTAAAGTGGGCCGAGACCGAGAAGAATTGAGGTTGAGGTTGATAAGGAATAGTCCCTGGGAATTCGGCCTGCCTATATATATATAAACCCATGTCTTAAAAGAAATTTCCCTTCTTTTCTTGACTTCGGCCTAATCTAGACCTCGGCCAAAATGTTTTGTCTCGGCCCCCATGACTTTAAGCCGAGCCATCATGTGTTGGAATGCTGCACTATTGTTGCCCTCTTTATTTTCTTAAGTGTCGGCCCGAGCAGCCGAATGGTTAGGAAAATAATTTATTTATTTAATAAAAGAAAACAAAAGTGGCCGAACTATAAAGTGGAGGGGGCCAACGATGCTTTATTCCGAGTCGAGATCTTTTTGTATCAAAATTTTCAAATTGATATCGCTCTGGGCCGAATAAAGAATTTTTCCCAAATATTTTTTACTCGGCAAAATATTTTGCATTTTCGGCCGCCGAATGTGTGGAACAATTATTATGCCCCCCAGGCATAATTTCGGCTTTTAATTCAAACAACTTAGCCGAACAGGATTTCTCCATATCGACTTTATCGCCAATAGTCATATCAATTGGCGTAGTTTCTTGGGCTAGGCCAATATCTCGGCCTTGTTCGTCATTGGAGCATTCCTTTGACGAATCATTTTCCAAGTCAATTTTTGTATCTAGCTCAGGGACTTGAATTTTTTCTTCTAGGCCTACCATACTTTTAGTCTCGACCGAAACAACAAGTGGCCTTTGTTTTTCGGCCAAATTACCAATTTTCTTAGGCCGAATATTGGTTGTGGCCGGAGTGGAGATTTGCCCCCCGGCCTCTTGCCTTTCAGAAATTCTTCTCAAACTCTCGAGAAGTTGTTTTTGCTCTTTTAATAGGCGATAACACTCATCCCTTGAAGCCGGATCGAGATAGATCATGTGAACTTCGTAGTTTAGCACTGGGTCCCATTGGGCGTGCCAAAATGTTGACCCTAAAACTACAAAGCCTACGTGGCGCGCAGGCCGAGTAATTAATGAGCTAACTACGTCCTTCGGTGAATGCGGGGCGTGCCAACTCGTCGGCCGAGCTCGGCCGAGGAGTAAATTTGTTGATGTTGCGTTGGGTGCGCGGCTGACTTCTGCGTCTTGCGATTGCGGCCGAGAAAGGAACACGTCTCGGCCTCTTGGGCTCTTGAACCTGAAGACAAGGTTACTATTCTTACGAAGTTCAATATCAAATTCGGCTTTCAATATGCCGAACGTAATAACGTGTAACACCTCACTTCGCCGAGAAGGCTGATGAGATGACCTCGACCAATAAGGGTTCAGAAACCCTTCTCGACCGAGACTTGGATAGGTAATCAACCGTTCTCGCCGCAGTGCTGTTGATGCCAACAGAAGATACTGCGAGACCGATTGATTCTACGGTGACAGAGCTATCTATGCCGACTTAAGATATCACCGGTTGCTTCCACAGTGCTGTTGATGCCAATGGAAGATGTGTCAGCGAAAAAGGAAAAAGAAAAATCACAAGTTGTGAGAATTTGCGCAGGGCAATTTTGTATTGATTTGCAGGGGTCCTTCTGTTTTCTACGCGTCTCGTATTTATAGAACTATCATCTCGATGGTCGTCGTGTTGTAAAACTGCTGTCAATACCAATGTTTCCTCCTGCATAACAATTTCATGCAAAACAAAAGATTGCTATGCCTTATCACTTACTAGCACGACACCACCACGTGCTAATTAATAGCATGTACCAATTATTAGCATATATCTTTATGCTGATAAGCATCTTTAATTTGAAATATGCCACATCCTGCATGCACGGCTAACCAACTCCAAGCACACGTGGAGTTGACTCTGTTGATTACGCATCTTGGCATCCTATTTAAATGCATGTGTTAATCTTCTCTGCCAATCAATATCCGTTTGCCAACCAATGCCACAATATATTAAGACTCTTGATAAAATGCTTTGATGCTCCAATCCACCACGCGTCCAAACTCTCAGAGTCCCAAATCAAATTGAACTGCATTACTTGCTTTAGAAATATAATTTGCATCTTCTTATCCCGTATAAGAAACTATCAAGGCATTTTTTTTTAAACGATAAAATATTATGATAAAAACCATAATATTATCCTTTAACAATAAAAATTACCTCCACTTTTCCATCCGACGGTTGAGAACTACGCTTACTCAACGGCCTTGATTACATGGGCCGATGGTGTAAATTTGGGTCCAAACAGGCTATTATGAAAAGCCATATGTTGGTGTGCTAGTGAAGTCGGCAAACATGCCTATAAATAGGTGTGTGTGTGTGTGTTGTAAGCAAGCAAGCAACCAAGAAATCGAGAAGTGAAGAAGAAAATAAGACTACAAGTCTTATAGTGTGTTGAGTGTTTGTGAGAGTTGAGAGCTTTCTTTGTAATATTTTCCATTAAATAAAGTCTTTTGTTGTGTCTCAAATTTTCGAGTGAATTTCTTCTTTGACATATAAAATTTAGAGTTGTTTATTCTAAATTTTTCTCAACAGTTCCAAGTCTCTAACTTGTAATTAATATCCTTATTGTATTAGTCAACAAACTCCGCCGTGTAAGTTTATCTTACATTGCCGGTCCCAAGCCCGGATAAAGGACGAGGGGGAGGGCGTCAGGTAGTCGACAGCCGGCACTCCATGATTACGTCGAATCCTTATGAAAAATTGTATTAATTCAACAGGCAAAGCTAATGTTCCAGCTGCAAGTGCAAAAGCCACAGCTCTTGAGAGACCTAGTGGTTTCAAATCTGATCGACACCCTCCTCTCAAGGTTGCTATGACACGCACATATATATATCGATGCTACTTGGCAAGCTTTCTATAGAGCCGTCACCCCGTTTGGGGATACCGCAGATAACGAATTTAGCAGATGCAATTGTCATCCCAAGGCCATCATACGCATTGTTTCCTAAATTTTATTATTGACTTGACTGCTTTTCCCCTTTCTTTTTTTTATTTTTCAGAGTTTGCCATCCCAGTTTATCAAGAAACACCTTGACCGGACTGTTGGTTATGTCATCCTTCGGGTTTTGGGTGGAAGAACTTGGTGTGTCAAATTCGAACAATATGACACCGGAAGATTGCAGATTGCTGGGAGGTTGGAAGCAATTTGTGCGAGAGAACAGTTTGGCAATTGGCGATGAGTGTGTCTTTACTGTGATTAACACCACCAAACCTTTGTTTGATGTTGTCATTTCCCGGCAGCGGATAGAATGCTGCGACTTGCAACGTGAATAACTGAAGGAGAAGACTGAATCTGAATATTGCACCATGAGTGACTGCTACCAAGGTGAATTGAGTATTAAGAGCAGAGGAACAAAGTGTCTGTAAATTTAATGATGTGCAAACATAAATACCCCTAAGTTGAGTCTATACGTTGTGCCTCCTGATCCCTTTCGAAAGATCAATCTAGAATCTTATATGTTGTGTTTTATATTTCAGTTGTCATTTTGAACAGTTCATCTTAATAGGAATACTCTATTGTGAGAGTAAGGATTATTTAGTGGCATGTGAAGTTGTGTGACTACTATTATAATTGGAAGCTGCCTCCTTTTTCTTATCATAAAATGAAAACATATTAAAAGAAAAGAACTCTACATTATTCATTAAAATGCCGTTTTGAAATAGCACTATAGAGTGGTCACTCAAAGTAAATTTCATTCAAATAAAAAGTTAGTACAAGATAGAGACAACTCAAAAGGAGACTCCAAGAGCCAGTCTCTGGTAGCCTGTTGGATTGGATTTGTGCGACCTCCACGACAACCCAGTTGGTCCTGTTTGAGATTGGCAGAGACAATGGAAAAAAAGACAGATTCCAAGATAGCCAAACAAAGCCTAACTCCACAAAAGAAAATTACAATAAAAGAAGACCTAGAGGACTAATTCAAAGACTTTACCTTTCTCTCCCCTGTGAGAGTCTTTCTCACCATTGTGTGAGTGGTCTTTCGTAATTTTCGATTTGCGTCGGTGCCTGCCATATAGCTTTCGTTAGGGTCGATGCCAGTCCCATGTTTTTCATGTGTGGTTTGTTTGGTTTCAACTTTTTCTAGCTCTTTTTGTTGCCTGCAAATTTTCCTCCCATTCCCTGCAATTTTCACGATCTCCTTCTATCCTTTCTTTTTTAGAAAAACTAATGAAAAGAGCTTGAAAAGTTTTAGTTTTAATAAAAAAACCATGTTATAAGTTTTGTTTAAGATTAGTACAAGGCCCATATTAAAGTAGTCCAACTAAAAATAGCCTAATTATAATAAATTATGATTTGTCGATTTTACCCCTAACTTTTTTAGGTTGAGTTCCAGATTTTCGTCATTAATGAAGTTCATCGTTGTTTTGCAGCCTTCTTCTTTTTCTTTGAAACAAAAATATAGATCCTCATGCTATTTAATTAATATTTTGTATTATTTTGTTGAAACGTGATCGTCGTTATTATTCATAAAGTATTCGATGTACTAATTTCCAATTTTTCTTCATTAGTAGAGTTCATCATTTATTTCTCCAGAAAATAAATTTGAGATCTGCATGTTATTCAATAATAATGACGGGTCATTGTTTCTGGACTGTAAAAATAAACTGTTTCTGGATTTTAAGTAACACTATTTCTGGAATCTAAGTCACTGTTTCTGGATCTAAATGAAATAGACACACTGTTTATCAATTGTAAGCTAGAAAAGAAATAGTGAAATTCATTGTATTTGGATTCAAAACAAAATAAGCATCCTGCTTCTTAAATATAATCGACTGATGCATGAAAGAAAATAAACAATCAAGGGTTAAAACATAGATTATTTCTAGAATCTGAATCACTGTTTTTGGAATCTAAGTCACTGTTTCTGGAATTTAAGTCACTGTTTCCGGATTTTGGTTCTTTTCTTTCCAGATATAGTGTTTGTTTGTGCATAGAAAAAACAAACACTGTATCTGATTTTTTTTTTTCCAGAAACAGTGCTATGTTTTGGGTTCTCCAGAAACAGTTTTATGTTTTGGTTTTTTTTTTTTTTTTTTTTTTTTGATATGTACGTACATCACCGAGACCGTAGGTCTTTATTAGATCTGATTGGAATAAAATACTAACACTATAAATTGTTCGTGGTGCAGATAAGAGGATGAGGATGAGGACGATGACAAGGAAGAGGAGGATATAAGGGCATGAAAAAGGTAGACAATAGTTTTTTATGGTTTTTTATTAAACTTTGAGCTCTTTTGGTTAAATAACATTTTATGATGGTTTTCTGTTAAATATTTGTTGGCCTAAGTCCTTTTCATTAAAGCTCCCTTCTTTTTTTACCTTTTATCTCACCTTCCATCATCTGCATCATTTGGTCCCATCATCCATAATGAAATAGAACCATTTTGAGGTTTCCTATGAAAAGAGGCATGGAGCGAAGCCACTACGAAGCAGTTTCGGGGGTTACAAAGAAAACTTCGAGCTCATATTGGTCATGGGTTGATAATGGAAATTGAACTCTATGAGATCTAATCTCCTATTGTTCCTCAGTAGCTCAGTGGTAGAGCGATCAGCTGTTAACTGACTGGTCGTAGGTTCGAATCCTACCTAGGGAGATTTGATTCATTCTGAATTCTTTAATTCGGAATAAAAGGTTCCCTTTAATTGTTAAGAGTAGATAACTTGTTCCCTGTGTCTTTGTTTCTATTAGATTCTATCTCATCGTATTCATTCTATTCTGCGATATTTGAGAATCACTGTCAATACCTCGGTGTATGTTCGGGATGCCCCCTTCTTTTGACCCATTCTTATGTTGTCAATTCCAGTCGGTTACCATCTTCGTTTACTGCAATTTGTCATGAATCTTTAGGAGGATGTGTAGAGCTTTAACTCAGGTGTTAGCATGACCACCCTTGACCGTTGTTGGTCTTTCCTGTAGTTCACCCTTGTCGGCTTTGTTGCTCGTGGGTTCTCCCTACGTGTTTCCTTGTTCTCCTAGCGGCAGTTCTTGCTGGTACTTTGAGGACGTTGTGCTTCTTTCTTCACCATTTATGGGGTTCTTGATGGTGTGATCTGAAGTGCTCATAATGGGAGGCTGATCGTGACAATTGTTGGGTGGTTCTCCTATGGCGGCGTCGACATTGGCGTCTGAAGCTTCAAGAAGACTAGCTTTTTAGGAATTTTTTTTTTTTGGTGTGGTTTGTTTGGGTGTGTTGGGCTCCAAGCTTGGGCTTGTGACTTTGTCTTCCCATTTTTATCTGCACATTACTTGTATCTTGGCCTCTGTTGTGCTTATGTTTGTTAGTAATGAATTTTACTCTTTGACAAAAAAAAAAGGAGCAGCTCATCATAGCATACAAAAAAAATGTAGACTTGAAAAACTAATAAAACAGCAATCTCCATCGATCAACAATTTGATGTGCCAGGTTTGGTTGGTTGCCCAAAAGGCTATCTAATCCGATAAAATGTGTAGTCGTAGCACGCTAGTGTGCATACTCCTCCTTTATTTATGCGCGAGACTCTATCCAAACCTATGGATTTCTCCAGTGTCAAAGCGATACCCTATCAAATTCTACCACTTGTTGAGTGACGTCTTCTTTTATATAAGCACCCCACCATTGAATGATGAACTTTCCAATCTTCGTCTCTAACCCGATTAAGGTAGAACACAGAGTCAAGCCAAGCCCTTACTCGCTTGAATTGAATTAATATCTCCTTTGTCTAGTCAAGAAGGAACAAAACTTGGGGAATTGAACCATTACTCTTCTATTACATTACGGAGAAGTCCATTCTCGTCAAGATCGATAGGACAAGCCCCCTCCACTTAGAAGAATGACTAAAGAACTAAGAGGGTGAACGAAAAATGGGGGTAGGCAAGCCACCCGCGCTTTGAGCGCTTTCTAATCTTACCAAATAATGCATATTGCACTTTAAAAGCTACAAACCACCCCCATAGGAGATCCTTGGAGGAAAGACTCGATGAACTGAGTAGTAGAGGTAAATGGTAGAGGATTCGCGTTGGCGAACAATAATTGGAGGATAAAGGAGGTTGAGAAATAATTGCACAACACCTTTACTTAAGGAGTTTGAAAAACTACAAGTAGTGATAAACTTGATGAGTTCAAAGAATGTAAAAATGACAGGGAATATCATGTATATGTACTTTTTCTGAAAGTTTTACAGCTTGTAAAGAAAACCATTTATAACTTTGATATTCTTGAGCTTTTTAAACAAGTAAAGATAAGTATTCTTTTATTAGATGTTGTTAAGTAGGTTCCGCTTATGAAAGAAAGCATAATGAGAAAAAAAAAAAAAAAAAAACTGTGTATATAGCTGCCCATGTGATAAGATTGTACAAATCGTGTAATTTTTGGATTTTCGCATGTAATTTTTTACTCCAACAAGTATAAAAATAATCAACAAAACTTACAAAAAAATAACAATAAAATACAAAAGTCAAGTTGATTACAAAATAAATATTTTTAGTAAATAACTTAAAAAATCAGAATACTTACAAAAGTTCGAAACACTTAAAAAAACTTTCTTGTCATAAATTCAAAATTCGCAAAATCTCTAAATACGTTCTAATTTTCAATCCAATTTCTCAAAACATATTTGGATCCGAATTTTTGGGGGAATTCAAAATTTTCAATGTCAAAAATAATAACACCAGTCCAACTTGAACTCCCATAAATAACACTTTCGTCAGATTGCTCTTTTTTTATTTTTTTTATTTGGGTTAAGTTTTCGCCAGATTGTTCAACACTTCTTAAATGCAGGTGATTCCAACGTATCAACCACTAATAAACAGGAGGTAATGCTAGGGTACAAGTGTCCACCTCTCGGAAAAGAAAAAATTAACAAAGTATTCATAAAGTTATGATTAATGTTAGAAATATCGATTTTTTAAATTAATTTTACAAATCAAATGATATGAGTGTTGATGATTGAATTATAATTTAAATGTTAATTTATGTGCTTATTTTTTAGGAAAAATTAGTATCCGCTCCCTAGTTCTTACTGTTTATTAACTAAGACCTTATTAGTTATCAAATTTTGATTCAAGTCCCTAGCATTAATGTGATAATGAATTTACATGTTTATTATATAATTTTATAATATAAAAATTAGTAATTAATTTAGGGTTTAATACTCACATCTCTATTAAGCTTCTAATTAATTTTCAATTCAAACATTTCCAAAATAATAAAAAATTAAATTAAATTAAGTTTGTACCTATTAGTTTTTTTTATATATAAAAAGATTCTTAATTTTTAATCTTAAATGTACCCATTCATATAATTTTTCAATTTTTTTAATCTTAAATGTACCCATTCTCAAATATATCAATTTGTTATATATAAAATGTACCCTTTTTTAATATAAAATCCATTCAAAGTTTTTAATCCATGTTTAAACTTATATGGGTACATTCTTTTTCGTTGATTTGAGAATGTATCCATGTTTTGGTACAATAACTTTTTTTGTTAATTTTGGTTAATATACCCATACATATATGTATATATACACACACAATATATAGTAGAGAGTATAATTTATATTTTATTATTTTTAATCCCATAA